CGCGTCCTGCTCTCGGCCCCGCTGGCGCCGGCTCCCTCAGCCTCGTAACACAGGCTGGCCCTCGGTCCCGCTAATGTAGCTCGGCCCCAACCCTAGCCCCAGTAACGCAGCCTTTCTCTCTCCCGCAGTTCCCCGAGTTTGATGACCTCTACTGCAAGTTCTGCTTCGTTTACGGCCAGGACTGGGTTCCGACTGCTGTAAGAGCCTTTTACGTCCCCTTGAAACGCGGGCTGCGTTGCTGGCCTGTGTAAAACGGGCCCGGCAGGGGTCCTTGGCTCATGCCACGCTCTCCCTGCAGGGCCTGGAGGAGGGCATCTCCCAGATCACCTCCAAGAGCGATGCCGCAAACTCTACACTCGTCTGGAACTTCCCCATCGACATTACCTTCAAGAGCACAAACCCATCCGGCTGTGAGTGCCCAGGGGTGGTGGGGCCCATCTCGCAGACCAGGCAGCCTGCTGACTTCCATTTCTTTTGCAGGGCCACAGATTGTAGTAAGCGTCTATGGACCTGATTTTTTTGGAAACGATGTGGTCAGAGGCTATGGAGCTGTTCATGTTCCCATTATACCTGGAAGGTGAGGTGATGACCTACTCATCTTTCAGGATCAAAATGGAATTTATTTCTAAGTATCTGTGCTGTTTCAGAGCCAAAAATGTCCCCTTATCTCCTTGTCACGTCATCAGAGTGGTATGAACAGCATAGATCTTCTAGTAGAAGCCCCTGGTTATCAGATGATTTTTGGTAATCCTGCAGGCAATTCCGTAAAGTCAAAACTAGTATGAAGAAAGTCCAAGTATGAAGTGCAGTATGTCAGTTCTTCTTCCCCAGCACTCTCAGCAGGCGCTAAGCTTTCATTTCTGCCACTGGAAGTAGAGTAAGTTACTATGCTCTTCTGTATTTATATCTCTGGGACTCCTAGGATGCAGCAGCATGTATGGCACTCTGAAGTGACTTGTTTGCTCTGTGCTAGCTTTCTTATGCAAGCAAGCCCTTCCTCTGTGGATGGGAAAGTATTTTTACTCTGAGATGTTCAGTGATATAATGTATCTGAAATTCTGGCCTCTTTAATAAAAATAAGGAGGCTTGCCATTGCTGTTTGGTTCATTTCTTAATTTCTGTGCCTTTCATGTTTGTTTTAGGCACATAAGAACTATTCCTATGTTTGTTCCGGAGTCTACATCTAGGCTGCAGAAGTTTACAAGGTAATAATTAAAGACTTTGTGAGTAAGACTAAGAAGAACTTCTTAAAAAAAAAAAAAAAAAGTATCTCCAGCTACTCACTTGTGCATACGTACACGTATTTTGTATCATAAACAGATAGTTTTGAGTTTTATGGGTGAAGCTAAAGTTGAGGAACTAAGTGAGGTGAAGCTAAAGTGTCCTTCAGAGAGCTTTCATAAAACCTGTTAACTATTTGCTTGGAGTAATGCTGTCTAACTTGCCTTTTTTGTCATCCTTGGATTTGAACAAGGTTTGTTTGAGAAAGAGTTGCTAATTTTAACAGACTCATCTCTGAACTCTTGCACTGTGTGGCAACTCCTTACTCCACGGGCCGATTCATTTCAGTGACATGACTTGCAGAAGCCCAGCTTGGCTCGGAGTGGTTTTACTGGGCATTTTTAGTGGGCACTGGGCTTCTAAGGAAGGTCCTCTAAGAGGACCGTGCTGCAGTTCACCCCCTCAATCATACTGTAGCTGGCAGCTACAGGTAGGATAGCCACATTAAGAACAATCTGTAAAGCAAAGATAGAGCATGTTTGTGTAAAATTTGCTTGGAAAAACAATTCCTGGTTTTAACTTTTCTTCCATCCAGGATGCATTTGCCATAACCTTTGCTCTATTTATACCCCCTCCTCCCCCGCCTTCCAGAGTAGCAGCAAATAAAGGAACTTAATATATCCACAGCAGCTTAGGGTGTTAAAGGTTTTTTTCTTCCATGGTACTGTTTGTTGGGCTGTGAGCTGATTATTTAGGTTGTGGATTGACTAAACCTACCGAGCCTATGAGCTTCATAGCTGCATTTGTGCAGCTCGTGGTACTTAAGCAGTCTGGGTGAAAGCTGGCTTGGGAATCCCTGGGCCCTGCAGTCAAGATTCAACTGATTTCTTTCTCTTCTTCATACCATTTTTTTAATGGGTCTAGGCTCTAATTTGTATACCCTTGTATTATCTGCATTTTTGATTTATTCAAAGTAGCCAAGCCTCTGTTACTCTGGGTAACTGTTTCTGAAAACTGCTTTGCCATAGACAGATTCCGTCTAGCCCAGAAATAACTTGGATTTAACATAATGTTTATGAAACTAGTTTCGTTTTTCCCTTGGAGAGATGAAACTTATCTTTGGTCAAAGCAGATAAGCAATAAAGTAAGTTAACCAGCCTTCAAAACTCTGTACTGCTCACAAAGGCTAAGAGTCTTATTTCATTATATGCATATTGGAAAAAAAGGAAAGAACTTTCTATGTCAAATCTAAACAGTAATGAGTATATCCAATAAGTGACTTGTTTTCTGTTTTCTTCTCCAAGTTGGTTCACGGGGAGACGTCCAGAATTTACCGACCCAAGAGTTGTAGCACAGGGAGAAGGAAGAGAAGGTATGTCCTCAGGATTTCCTGACTGTACTTCTTGCATGAGAGTAAGCCCAGCTTAGCCATCTGTTTCCTCTGTTGGGAAGACAGATCAGTGTTTCCTACTGAGAACAGTCTCACCTGGATATCGGTGAGGAATTCAGCAGCTATTCCAAAAATCTCTCTTAACCAGTGTTACTGATGTCATCTTTTTCCTAGTAACGAGGGTGCGATCTCAAGGCTTTGTGACCATTTCCTTCAATGTAGTGACCAAAGATATGAAGAAGTTGGGCTATGAGGTGACCCCAAGTGACATGCAGAACCACTCTCTGGTGTCTGTTACAGAAGGGATTCATAACTATTAAACTCAAGAGTGAGACATTCAAAGACTCACTCATACAGAAGACAGCCAATTTGGGAGCTTTTTTTTGCAAATGGAAGTGACTGTCTGACAACCCTGAGAAAATTTCACCTGAGACATGGGCGCAAGCCCATGAGGCTTTGGAATAATTTCCTAAGTGTAATCATTTCCTAAGTATACAGGTTGAAAAAAAAGTAAATTGGTGTCATCAGATAATATTTTGCATTTTTGTGTAATATGAAAATATAAGATCTATTATATAAAAGTTTTTTTAACAGCCTTTTGTACACTCTTTATATGCAAAAAGAAGAGGAAGGTTTAATCTTTGTAATGGTTTCCCTGTGTTTAAAACATCAGTGCAAACCAGTGCTGTTTACTCATGTTTCTCTGGTAGAAATGAGAAATTGAAGTTATCACACCTTCCAAAAAGAAGGGCCTGTGGAAACGTTACAGTGAAACGCAAGCGCTTTTTGCCGCCATGCGCTTCTCTGCAAAAGCTGCCTCAGCTTTCCATTTCAATCCGATATAGTCCTTTAGAGTTTGTGCAACTAAATAAAATACCTCATGCACTGTTTAAAAAAAAAACAACTCTTCCAAGTTTTTCAGTGCAGCAACCTGGGCTAATATTAGTACTCTTCTTTTAGGCTGAATAAAAGCGAGTGTCTGAATACTTATGTTTTTGTCTTTCTGCTGTTGTTGTTTTACTTGTGCCAGAATGGCTGTATCTAAGCCTTAAATCATCCAAGATCTGCTATTCTTACAGGTACAAAGAGAAAGAAATGTATTCTACAACAAAATGACTAATCACTCAGTCATTTTGATATAAACATTTGGGCACATAAGATTGTGTGTTGTGACTGCAAATACCCAGAGATGACTGTGAGACGAACTTAGCATGAGACCACCCTAGAAATGAACTACCAAGACAGTGAAACTGTAGAAGTGCAAATATAAGTAGTAATACACAAGGCTGAACTGTAGAGCCTCCAGGACATATATCAAAGCACCCCAGTTGGTTATAGGTGTTAGTGCATACTGAGCAGTATAATCAAAGCCTGCTTTTATAAATATAATTCAATAAAAGATAATGTCATCATTGGAATTTTGCTCTGAGCATTAGCATCTTCTGATCTATTTATAAGTACTTTTCCAAACATGGTTACAGCTTATTTTTTGTCTCTTGCTTTTTCCTAGTATGTTTTTATTGGTTTTTACACTTCCAGTAAGCTCCTCCACCAGTTGCTTTGGCAACTGTTGTAATCTCTCAACTGAGTCATGTTTGAATCCAAATTTGAAAGCATTTCCTGTTGGCTGAGAGGAGACGCGTGGAATTTTGTTTCCTTTTTAAAAGTATTTGGGAAGCAGTTAGTTAGATACAGTAGCAGGATACTTGCAACGTACAAAGACAAACATAAAATCTACTACCACTTAAATGTTTTTTTTTTCCCTTGAGCACATTTACATGCCCCTATTCCAGTTTAGAGCAAAACAGCGTGACAGGCTCTAGCCATAAAAAATGTATTAAACTGAGATAAAGGCCGAACTTCATGCCCACAGGGGTGCAGTGAATTTATTCACATAAAACTTTACAGTGTGCTACTACTACAGATCTCACGACTTGTTTCAAAAGAAGAGTTAGCTGCTTTAATGCAGTTATTTGTTCTGGTCTGCTGTCCTGGGACTGAGGCCAATCAGAACTGACATATGCATTTGCACAGCCTCACCATTCCCAGCCAAGCTGCAGTGCCCCTCAGAAGAATGGGTTTCATGTTAAAAACAAACAAACAAAAAAAAAACCCAATTCCATCAAATATTTGAGACACCACGTTTCACTGTATCAGCAATTTCCACACTGCTACTTGCATTAGCGGGGCTTTTGGCAGTTGTCTCTGTGTTTTTTTTTTTTTTTTTGCTGCTCAATGTCTTGCTCATATTTGTTAAGAGCCTCAAATACCGTCTTCTTCAAGACCTTGAAGTCCGTGCAGAAGCTTTTCCAATTTGACACAGTTTGGTCCTTATACAATGCCATGTGTGAGGGTGCTTTTTTTATTTATTTTTTTTTAAATAATCGTGTTTCCTGAGTTCAATATCAAGCCATTGTTCAGAAAGGCAACTGTTGATATATCTTATAAACACGCTCTTCTCCCAGAGACAGGCTCGCTGCTGCCTTTACAATTTTCTGGGCAGCTGTCTCAGTTTTAAGGCTTGGAACGCGAACCAAAGCCACTTTGGACTCAAGTGTGGGAGAAAGCTTGCAGCTGTTTTACCCTGGGGAGGGGGAGAATCACCTCTGCTCACGGAGGAATGAAGATACACACTCTGCTGTGCTGCCTACAGCGTGTGACATTAGCTGCAACTAAGAACACTTACAAATTATATATCCCTTTCTTAGTAATGTATTAAAGGTTAAGAACCCATGCTTTAAGAACAGCCAAAACCCAGGAAAAGAAAAAAAAAACAGCCTTGCTCTGGTAGTGCCAAAGTGATAGTCTTCTGCCTGCTCTCCAGGCAGCTGTGACCACCCAACTAGTTTACTAGTTAATGTGTCCCCTTTTACTCCAAGATTTGACTGAAGCTCCTGGCCACCTCTTGTAACACAGGTTAGTATGAGGCCCTCAGCTGGCACTCTGCAGCTTGTGTTTTGTTACACTTACTTACTTAAGTCTCTCCCAGACAGTGAAATTGGCCATTAACCTCCTAATTCAAGATAGGCAGAAAAACTCTCAGTTCAGAACATCTGTTCTGCCACTTTCCTGACATAGGATGGGGCTTTAATGTCATCAAAACAGAGCCATTAGAAGTAAATAAAGTCTCTGAGATAATTCAGGACTTTGCTGCAGCCTTCCTCCAGCACGTTGTCAGGTTTCTGTACAGCATCACTGCAGGGAGAGTCCACACCATATCCCCTGCAGATGCCTCCCTCCACTACTTCTTCCTTTTTAGTGAATCTGCCTTAGATGCAGCAAAACATTAGCCTCCATTACGCCCAATTGCTTTAAACCAGCTAATCTGTTTTTTCCTCATTCAGGGCACCTGTACTCTATCAACCTGTCTCCACTGCCGTGATGCTACCCAGGCCTAAGGAACCGAGACAGGCAGTGCGAGATAATTACCTGCATGATGAGACTGCGTCACACTAAGAGCAGTCTCTCAACGTGGCTCATGGTGTATTTTTACTGAGAAAGTGACTTTCCACGAGAGGTGTCTCTTGGTGCTTGGCACTGGGCCGGGCAGATGACCTTCACGAGACACCTTGGGAACGTTGCTCGGCAAGGCGTACACAAAGGGGGCCAATGGCCAAGTTGTAGGCAGCCAGGAACGTGATGGTGGGCTGTGCAACTCTGAGGTGAACTGAACCAGCTGCAGAATGAAGTAGGGCGCCCAGCAGAGGAAAAGGTGGAGCAGACGGTTACTGCTGTTGACACAACCATCTTGCTCTTCATCCTGACCTTCCTCTGGGGCAACAGCAGCACCATGCACGAGATGTGCTTCTGGCTCTCAATGCACTAAATACAGATGGTGGAGAGGGGGATGAGGAACGCCAGAAAGAACAGGTACAGCACATACCAGTAGATACCAACAGCGATGTTTGTTAGGCAGGATGCTGCCACAGCCAGCTTCACTCCCAGCGAGAGCAATGGGCTAGGCATACATGAGCATGGGAGCAGCAGGCAGCAGAGACAGGAGAAAGAGGGGCAAACTCATGACAGCAGTGCAGGGAGGGTGCAGAGAGGGTCAGTGCACCACAGCCAGACACAAGTCCACAACTGCTGGTACCTGCAGAGCCAAGGAACAACGTGACAGGCAGAACCACCACCTGGAAAGAAGCCTCCCAGGGCAAAAGCGGAAAGAGCTTGAGAGACTGTGCTCTTTGTGGCACAGGGTTCCTGCCATCACAGGGGAAGTTACCCTACGAGAGAAATAGCATAAGACTGGGTCTGAACAGCAACCTGGGAATCAAACCTGCCAGGACACAGAGCCCCTTCTACCAAAACTGGAAACAGCTGGATCAGCTCCTGCCCTCTCATGGTAATTTGCAACCTTTAGAAAGACGTTAGGCATTGCTAATAACAATTAAGTATTAAAGCTGTGTGAAGGACAGACAAGTACTTCTTGCTCCTGCATAGGAAATTGCACAATACAACGATGCTGGCTGCCCTGCCTCTGCCCCTCGCCCTGAGAGCTCAGGGGCAAACGCTTCCCAGCCCTATAGCCACCTCCGTAAAAGTAAACTCAAAGAGCTGCCCAAGCCAGCTTGCTTCCCACCTGCCATACAGGGCTCCAAAAAAGCATTGCACCCTTGGCATCACCCGAATTGCAGAGGGTCCGACCGGTACCCGAGGGCAGCAGGTTCCCAGGGCATGTCCTAGTGCTATTGGTAGGAGCTGCCGCACAGGCAGTGGGACTGAGCTGAAACCCATGCATTGCTTAGTGCTGGAGAAACCACCTTTGCCCTCAGGCTAGTAAGGCTATTTTACCACAGCGTTATTGCAGGAGCTAGAAATTACCTCCATCTCAAGAAGGGAGCCTTGCAGACGGATTAAAGCTGACAATTGCTCCACAGCAGCAGGGCCCTTTTAAGAGCAGGACCCTCCTGTGAAATACTCCAAGGCCCAGGGTGGGGGGAAAACACAGCACAAAACTCAGCCAGAACTGAAGGAAGTCCGGCTTCTGACTCTACTAGGCCTCATCACCAGCAGCATTTCAGCCTGTCGCAAGCCAGCCCCAGGATGACCTGTCTATGCCAAGGCCACCAGAGCATCATGCCAGGACCTCCCCAGGACCCCAAGCTAACACCCTGGATCCATGGTCCCCTGCCCAGGTACTGGCTCCTGCAGTGGCAGGAGTCCACAGAGGAAACGCTTGGAGGCCAGGCAGCCCCAGGGGAGCTGGTTGGGCCACCAACCAGCGGGTGGCCCGCAATCTGGCTACCTGCAGCTCATCCACCAGAGCCACAGGAGAGGACAGCAAAGCAGCCAAAGGAGGGGTTTTTCCCTGGTGGAAACGCAGCCGTGGCATTGGTCTCGGCCATCTCGCTGACTCTCTGCGATGCTCACACTTGGAAACGCCACCTCCCCCCCCCCCCGCAGCCAAGCCTGAGCCCCAGGATCCCAGTGAGCAGCAGCCAGGTAGGCAGGCAGCTGTGGCAGATGCTGGCTCCTGGGCGCCTCTCAAAGGTGGTCAAGGAACAGAGCCCTCCTGCACAGCAGTGAGAGGCCCACAGACCCCTCTCGCATCCACTGCCCAGCTCCTGCTGCAGGGCACAGCTAGCAGGGGACTCCCCCCCCACCCCCCGAGACCATCACGAGGATCCCACGGGGCTGAGGCCTTGCACCACTTGGTGCTTCCCAGCATCCCTACCTTCTCCTGAGAGGTACAGAGGCCAAACAGCTTGGCTAGAGCAGCCACCAGTAACGACTTTAAGGCCTTCCAGAGCGAGCAGGACCACCACCCTCACGCATCCCCCGAGCGAGGCTCAGCACTCATCCCCTTTTGTCCTCTCACTGTCTGTCCACACGGTGCATGCTGGAGAGGGGGTCCCCAAGGTTTTTCCCCCTTAGAAGAGAGTCACCCTGAGACGCAAACCAGGGCAAGTGTGAACCTCAAGAGCCAAGGCACTCGGGTGAGCTGACACACAAATCAACGCCTTCTGAATTTGGACTATAATCCACGT